CCGGGGGGTGCAGGGGGGTGGCAGAGGGTGTTCGGGCACGTTACGGGGCGTGGGGGCTATGGGGAAGGCTGTCGGAAACCAGCAGGCGCTCTGGTTGCCTGTCAGTTCACCGTGAACTCGTCCCTCGCTTCTGGCCTGGGCTTTACAACCCGTTCAAACTGGGTTTTATAAACTTTACGTGCGGCCCTGCGCGCTCCTGGCTGCCGGCAGGTCCCGGAAAGCCAAGCTCCGGGGCTTCCATTTGCCTCCTTGGCACCAAAGACCGGGCCGGTTTCGCGGCCGCGCTGGCTGACCGGGCCTGGCTTTAACTCCGGCTTTACGCAACTGCGGTGCGAGGGGAGAAATGAGAGGTTCCCCGCGCTTAACGTTGCCAAATTCAGCTCGACCCGGGTGATTTCATAAACAAGAGCGAGTCTGATAAGGGGGAGGTTTGTTTTCCTCGGGCTGCGGCTGGGAAGGAGACGCTGGGGCCAGGTTTTGTGCGTGGCAGGGACCGGAGCCACGGTTTCTGCTGCCCTTCGCTTCGCCGTGCTGCCGCGTTTCCTTCAGCTCGCCCTCCTTAACGTTATTTAACAGCTCCAAATTAACGAGAGGCGGAAAACTGGGGCGTTTAGGCATTAAACGGTAATTTCCAGTCGCGGTTGGGATTCTCGGAGTTCAAAGGCCGTTTTGCGAAGCGCCGAGATCCCTCTGGTTGTCTCAAACGGCCTCGAGCCATCGTCAGCCCCGCGCACGTGAAGTCCGGCTGCCGAAATCCGCCGGACGCTTATTGCCCTTTTAGCCCGGTTATCGGCCGGCGTTCGGCGGCATCGCGGTTTGCGCGTGGGGCGAAGCAGCTGCCTTGATGCTCTCCCTCTTTTTCTTTTTTTATGGGGGGGAGCGGGAGAATTTTGCTGCTGAAACCAATCCGAACTGGCGGAGGTGCTGACTCCGGCGACTCGCTCCCGCCAGCCCCTGCCACGTCTCCGGGAGAGAGGAAACGTGAGCAAAACGGCTCAGGCTTGTGCTTAAAAAAAGCCCCAAAAACACAAACGCGACCGTAATAAGCTCCCTTGAGTCGCCAGCTGGGGTTTCCAGGCGGAATCGGCGAGGCCGGCAGAGGAACGCGCTCGCTGGCAGAGCCGGTGTGCCGCAGGCCCTGCGTTTTAAAACGGGTCGTTGTTGGGCAGCCCCGCAGCCTCTCCCTTCCCTGGGTTCTGGCTGGTTTTGGGGGCTGGGAAGCTGTTTTTGGGGTCGGGAGGCTGCCCCAGCGGCTGGTGGGTGCAT